TCACTAGATATCGATAATTTGGTACTTTTGATTGCTTCCTTCGTGTAGTAGGTTGTCGCTGGCGCAGTTGAGATGTTGTCGCAATTAAAATGTTGTCGCACGTCATGCCTCGTCATCTAACTAGTGACGCGCATGAATGGATTAATGAGATTCCCACTGTCCCTATCTACTGTCTAGCGAATTCACAGCCAAGGGAACGCACTCGAGATTCGAGATAAGAAAACAAGAACCGGAACGATTGAAGAAGTAGCAACTTCATAACTTACAAACTCAAGCTAATCTCTGACCATCGTTCAACTAGCACTGCGCCATTTTTCACAGCAATCGTCACTACTTAAATGTTCTCACAAGGAGAATCTTCGACCCTCTGAACGTCTTAGTGCACGGTAAAAAATTCGAGATGTGAGCTATAATTTAAGTAGTCGGGTATGCTGCGACCAAATTAACTCCTCACAGCGGTGCAGAGGGTCTACACTGCTCAAAATCTTGTCAAAGGATACATTGGATGCATATCCGGGTACAATTGCAATCTATTTGAGCGACGACGCGTAGTTTAGCTGGCAAAGCTAATGCAGTCCAGACTTGAAGTCTAAAAGTGGAGCCACAATTTATTGAAATCAGAGACTCAAACGTCGCCATATCTGCAACTACTGCAGCCTTATGTGGTATTTTTCGAGATCAAAGAGCGATTGCAGCAATATGCATCTTCTCTGATGCTGACAGCCTTTAAGATCTGACCGTTTAATTGGAAATATCGGCGATTGTTAATAAAGGATTTTGTTTTATTGCATAAAAGTATCATAGATTACTTTTCAGCATTCATGCTAGATCACTGGAGTAGAACTTTTTCGTACATGGCTTCACGCACGGGCAACAAATGCTGAAACGTGTCAATATTAGTATAATTTGCCATGTTTTTCGATTGCCCCTGAGCAAATAGCGAGTCAAATTGCTCCTCCTTGCGAGTGTACTCGCGCAAAAAGAAATCATTACCGAAAAGGTGGTGAATTCGTGTTTCGTGCAGCCGTATAACAACGTGATCTAGACGCATCCAAAAACGCGACAGCACGTAGAAGCCTGACGGCATCACACGCTGCAACATTAAAGCCAACAACAGAAAAGGATTAGTGCACAGCCGCATGACGTAAATATATAAAATCGCTGCTGCCTCACCACTTTCACTGACATGGCAGAAACTCCGTGGTCGTGAAGCTCGTCCTCATAGAGCGCGACGTCGTCGAACCAAAGAATAGGTTCGCGCTCTTTAAGCTTTTCGATGTCTATACGCTCTTGTGCAGTCTCCAACTGCACGTCTTTTATGCTTCTTATCAACGTGGTGGAGTGATTCTCCGACTTGATCAGGCGCTGCAATGAGCCCTTATAGTTTGTAGAATACGTCCAGTCGTAAGAGATATCTAGTTCTCTCACCTCTTCTCTGCAAGAAACACATTAGCTTCGAACGTATACACCATCACGAGATCTGTCGTACTTGCTGTGATCGTGCTTGGCAATAGAGACTTTGAGCTGCTTGTTGGCCACAATGTCTTTTGCCGCGTCACTGATCGGTGGAGGGAAGTGCGCGCCTTTAAGAGCTTCAACGGCTAGAAAATTGTAGGCTATGCCGGATGGTTCATGAAACAAAAGCAGCTGATTCTTGCCGAACACCATCTCTGGTGGCGTCAGTTTGGCCACCTCGCCGATTCTGCATGAGTTAAGTAAAAAAAAATATTATCACAGACTATATTTTTTGATATCAAAGATATGTCTGACGCACTCGTCCATCGCGTCGATAGGCGTAATATGACTCTTATGAGAACCAATGACCCAATCATGCAGGCGGATGCCCTTATGCTGCACGGGGTCCGCTTTCGACCCAATGAGGTTTTCGCGGCGCGAGTCGCCCAGATACACAGGTGTGGGGGAGGAAGATTTACCGCTGTCGTTATCTTTCACGCTTTCATAAAGATTCTGTAGCAGCTCTAAAGCGCCATTCTCTAACGTATAGAAACCTGTTGGGGTCATGCCTTCCTTTGCCTTTGCCTAGAAATTTCTAGTTGAAATAGCGTGTCTAATCATCACACACAGGCCAACATTTTTGTGCTTACAAAATATACCTTTAAAGTACTGGAATGCTATATGTTTGCATTCACTAATAAGTACGAAGTGAAGAAATAAAAAACAAGTAAGCGCCGAGAAGGAGATGATTATCTGTATCAGGAGCCCACCTTCTATCACGACTTCAAAATTTCGCTCAATAATCACTCGACCGATTTAGAAAATGAATCGGCGATAGCAAGATTGAGCTACTGCGATAAATGAATGCGGTCTATACATCCTGGATTTTATTGCGTACCACATATGTGTAATGCTTACGAGCATTCATTTTTCTTTTCATAGTCCATATTTTATTTTGAATTACTTGAGATGCCTCTTTTGTTAGAGACAACAGTAAGGAGCGACGAAGAAGTAGATATCAAAACCTCGCATCGTTTTCAAAAAGAGAATTTATATCAGTCTACCCTCTTGACTTGAATAAATTGAGAGGGGTGTAAATGAGAATTTTGTGAAAAGACTTACTGACGCAGGAATCGACTTTGCTATCCACTTGTCGTAAGTCAACGTCGTTGCCACAAAAAGCATCTTTATGTACTCAATTATAAGATTCAGTGTCATGTGCGGCAATTTCCAATCTCACGCTGAGAATTGAACCAAGAAAACAGAGACGTAGCTTGTTTATTGTACGGTGTGCAGTGCATAATTTATATAGGATATATCGCGCATGTGAAAAACACCGTGGACTAAATGATGGGTAAATAAATGCAACAGAAATTGGGAAACTTACTCTATGCCATAAGTTTACCATTCACCTGCTGCAACTGAAAACTACACACTGCCTACCAAACTCTAACGACTTATTACAAACTTTAGCATATGATGGTAACTAGTTCTGAGCAAAATTGGCATTTCCTCTATTCTGAGCGTTGACTCCTTTAAATATAAAAGACGTACTTATGCATGTTGGCAAAGTAAAAACGCACCACAGATGCACTGATCCAGCAATTTCTGGATAATTAATTGATGCTGGGCTTCCAAAACTGTCAATGTAACCGCCATTCAGTTTCTTAAAACTGCATTTCTGTCCACAGACACAAATCACATAAAAAGCACAATGTTTAGATATGGACTCAGTAATAATAAGAATATGAAACAGCAGCTTCAAGACAACTGCGTCGCTGCTGCTATAGCATGTAGCTTTTCCTGTCAAGCAGCTGCTGCTGCGTATTCCATGTATCAAAGTGGCTAACCTGTAATGTTGTGGTGTCGTCCACTCTTCTTGGAATAAGGGTAGCCAAGTATGCTTAGGGACTCGCGACTGTAGCCACTTTCACGCGCTGAGCCAATGCTGGATTGTGAAGTAGCCAGGTCCCTACTCTGGTGTACGGCAGGATTAGACGCATAGCTGTCGCTTATTGAGTTTGCCATGCGGTCAGCCTCCGTCGATCCGCTTAGTTGCGCGTTAAGTGGATAATTGTCTGCAGCAGAAGGTGGGCTTGACTGCAATAGTGTGTTGTTCGACAGAATTGATTGATTGGTAGGGCGAGAAGCTGACGCATAGCTATCCGCATCAGACAGTACCGAGTCATTCGTGTATCGGCCCAAGTCAAGACCCGACGCTCTCATCGAGTTCTGCTGAAGACTCGGGCGACGCAAGCTTGTACCGTGAACGTTGCTCTCAGGAGACGTCACTGCATTGGCGTAAGTGTCGTCTGAACTGTAAGGCGCAAACGACTGTTGGGAGCCTAAGCGGCGAGTGAGATCCATCGTAGCACGAGCCTCCGACTCACGCATGTCATCGATGTCAAAGCTTGAGCGACCTTCTTCATCATCCTCACCATAGTGTTGATAATTTGTGTTGGAAGCATGACGAGGCACAATTGGAGCAGACAAAGTAGGGGCAGACTTCATAGTCGACGTGGGTGGGCGAGGAGAGGTGATCGTTACGTTGTTGCTGTAGGCATACGTTGGAGCAACATAAGTAGAATTTCCGGGTGGCGAAAACGAGTTTGTTGTGCGATCAAAAGACGATGGTGATGAATTTACAGCGGTTGCTTTGACAGCAAGAGGGGTGGGATCATTCATAGCAGGGGGCTCTGCATGCACGGCCAGCGCCTTAGGCAAGTTCGCCTCACTATGGCGAACACCAGTATCCTTTGTACTAGCTGCGGGTGACAAAGATTCAGCATAGTCGACCGTAGGCGATGCAGGCCGCTGATGGTCATCGTGGTCTTCGGGAAACGTCGCAGCGGCTGCGGCAGCTGACTTAGGTTTAGTCGAAGGAGACAGGTACTGGTTTTCAACATCGTTTCCTGAATCACTGAAACCCTTTGCAGCACTTTTGCGACGTCGGATCATAATGACTGATCCCACAATGACCAAGACCGCAGCTGTACCACCAACGGCTCCACCAATTACCCCAGCATTAGAATCGCCTGAGGTGGTATTTCCTGTGACACCATCCGCAGTCGATGCTGAATTAAATTGTACGCTGGATGACGCGCATCCAGACGTGCTGGAAAAAGCAAATGTACTGTTCAGTATCTCGCCGTCGTCTGACTCCACTGAGAATTGAACGTTTTGGTACCATGTCGCTGAAGTAGAGCCTGAATTCGCCGAATAAAGAAAGCTTGAGGATGTGCTGGTAGCCGGAACACCTTCAATTGTTGCACTCGTAATTACCTTCTGAGAGTTATAAAACTGCAGCGGTACGTAGGTAGCTGAGGCACCTTCCATCAGACAGGCACTGATATCACCCGACATGAGTGATGAGGGGCATGAACCGAACCGGTACGAGACAATGGTGGTTCTATCTGTCACGTCAATGTTCAGTGCGGACATCGAATCTGCTGACAGCTCCAGCGTGCCAGAAGTGCAACCATCGCATACATCTAATACATAAGCAGTGGTGGATATGGCCGGATTATCGTCACGCGTGATCGTAATGCAACGCGCACAGGCATTATTAAGCGAAAAGTCTGAACTTGGCACGGAAGCGTAGAATTTAAAATTATCTGACGACTCCGAAATACCTTTAAGGCGGCATGTCCCGAAAGACGGATCGCTGATATTATAAATTGAAACGATGCCCGAGGCAGTGGCTATCTCGACTGTCACTGCCACAATTGCAACGATAGTAGTCCAGTCTCGCATAGTCAGATTTGATTTATATGTACCAATGGTCCGTTGTATGCTTGGATGATGGAATCGCGTTGTCTGCTTTGTGCTGATAGCCAACTTACGATCCGCACTACGATGGAAAGCTCTGATGCTCGTCGGTCACTAGGCGCTTTTTCGGTTGTGAGTTGTTGTGTGAGCTGGCTACTGGGGGAAAGCTACTGCCACCGAGTGCAAGAAGAGGCGGCCAGGGGTGGGGGCTGAATAAACTTAAAGCAGCTGCCAACTGCTGCCACCGGACGCACTGGATCCAAAAAATCAATATTTAATGACAAGATCAATTTCCGCTGACACATAATAGTGTGAAGCTTTGTCCTGTAGCAGCTGATGGATAAGTAGACAACATCATTTTTGCATATTAGTGGTTTCCTTCAGAGTTTGCCTGTTAGCATTTAGTGACAGACCTAACAAAATAGTGTCCCTTTGTATAAATGCGGCTGCTTGTAATGTGGAGGCTTCGAACGGGCTACATGGAGCTGATAATAAAATTTAACGCGATCACTTGACGTCACAAGCGCAGATAAGCGGAGCTGTGCAATACCACACGTACAGCGTACTGCTGGTTTCACGTTTGACAGGGTCGGCCGGGGACTCTGCATATTTCCCCCGTATCAAGGAAACTAGTGTTATTTTTTTAATTTGCGTTTGAGACGTGATGCTATTGACGACTATGTTGTCTTCAATAAGCCTAATCACTATTTCGCTTTCCTTGCAAGCTTTGTGGTGCTCAACGACACATGCTGCTCTGTTTTATATATCTAGTTGAAGACTCGGTTGTGTTTTGTATTCAAGTCACAATTTATCCTCGAGCTAGTTTTGTCATCTCCCTGTAAGAATTAGTAACACAGAGTGATGATTAATACTAACAAGATGATATAGTTGACTATCTTCGATAATTGAAAATTGATCAACACTGAACTGACTTTTTACGTGAAGATTGCGCCCGACATAGCACATTTGATAATCCTTCCTCTTCTGTTGTTTCCCAGGTTGAGGCTTGTGCTGTTGTTCACAATAATTTCGTAATCACTTTTCGTGTCAAATACATTTAGCTATCATTTCGCGTTTCGTTGCAACATTTTGTAGCTCCAAAACGAAGAAGCTACCAAGATTTCTCTAATAAAGTCAGCGCGTGGAATGTACAGTTACAATCTGCAGTCACAAATTCACAGCTCCACAATGTCCACGTCTGCGACATCTCGATACTAAATCAATGAGTTAGTAGACACATCAGCCATACGCAGCAACTGGTACAAGTAAAGCAATTGTGTGCGTTCGTTTTCATTGAGTCAAATCTGTACAACTCAGAATGTGTGTAATAGCATGGATGGTGTATAGCTGAAAACAAAACAAAATGTCTCTGTCAAAAGGTGAACGCAATCAACAGCTAGGTAGTTTTATTGTTTGGTCACGCGGATTGGCATGAGCAGGTTCCATTGAGAAGTTGTTGCGCGAGGTCGTGGGCGAAGACGTGCAAATATTGCATGAGACAATCGATTGGCTGAACGAGTGTGCTAGAGGTGAAGTGGTCTATACTTTTGATGCTCCTGCAGGTTGCTGCCTACAACAAATTTGTTGCTACCGTAGAGCTATTACAGGTGATTGGTAAAGAGGCTAATACAATTGCAGAAATTGCTGCAAAGAATGAAAACTATCGCATCTCACAAGAACACGTAACGAAAGCTCTCGAGGTATCTATCTGTGTATGGTTCGATTGATTTAAAAGGTCGTTTTCCACTCGTGCTTGACTTGGAGTGTTGTAGAATCTCGGGATGCGACGATACGTGGATGAGATTCAAAGGATCCAAGGATCATCGGAGCTCAAAATGCAGGTAAAATTATACTTTTGAGTGCGCGATTCGTTTGGCTGACACCTTCAATCTCCAAGAAGAAAAAGGAGCGGGTATCTCGAAAAAAAATAGCTGCAGAATCTGCCTCGCGTGACGAGTTGTTAGCCGAACAGATGGCACTTTTTGAGCAAGCATTGCTCAAGGCAAATAGAGAAGGGTGGTAAAGCACTCTAAGAAGTAAAACGCGTTCTTGATAGAACATTTACGACTAGTCGATTTAACGCTCCTACCAACACAAGAGAAAGACCCACAAAAAAACAAACTGTACAGTCTATCAGGATCGCTCACTTAAATTGAACGATGACTCCTCGATGATCAGATGCATATATCGGGCTTGACGCGTGCAGCATGCCGACATCATTCGGAAAGTCCTTTGTGTCCTCGGTGGGCTTTTGGCCAATAATATTACACTCTTCTACCTGTCCTTCACCGCGATACAGCACGAAATCGATGCGTTTTGACGGCCTATCGCTGGGGAACGTGAACTTGTGCTTACGATCGTCTAGGTCTGAAGACTGGGGCTCAGCCTCAACATGCTTCTCCAGCCATGCATCCTTCATGTCTGTCATTTGCCCAAATAGTTCTGATTTTCCGCTAAGAAATCGAATGCCGCGAGATTGGGGCTCTGCATTTAAATCACCTAGCAAAATCTGTGTCATACCTTTGCCTTGGCGCATAAACTCCCAAATTTCAACCATAGTTTGCTCTCTCGACCGCTCGCTCAGCGACAGATGTGTCACGTAAACATCAATTTTGCCCCAGCTAGGATAGTCAACCACTGCGTGAAGGCACAATCGCTGGTGTGAGTCGTTTGGATCATTCGGGTCGCGACTAAGCAACAAGTAATCTGTTTTGAGGACGGGATATTTGGAGAAAATTGCAGGCCCCTCCTCAATGCGTTCGTACGGAACATTCGAATTAATATAGCTCATGGCTGCTTGATAGACGTATTGATATCCTGGAAGGCGGTCAGCCAGATGCTTTACTTGCGCGTGATTGCCTGGTTCTCCGAAAACTCCGTCGTAGCGCACTTCTTGAAAGCCAATAATATCAGCTTGAGCATTCTTGATAAACCCCACGAGATGATCCAGTCGCTTCAAATACTGATTCCAACGACGCGTAGGGCCATACACGTCAAACGACGGATTTGTATTCCACACATTGTATGACAAGATACGCGGCCCTGAAAGAGCAACAGAGCATTCGTTTCCACTAAAGCCACACACAACAGCCTTCTCTGTCTCGAGGTCAGCCATCTCATTAATCGCTGAAAAAGTGTGCTGAAACACATTGTGTTCTGCTTCACGATCCAGTGCCACGACCACTTGGTGCCTCAAATTAAACTCGGCATCCTCCATTGTCAGGTAAAAATTAAAGCCGAAGGTCACATGGCTCTTAAAATGATACATCTGACCATTCGCTCCAAGACTTTTCTGTATAATAGTCATTTCTGACTGACCATCGTCTCCTGTTATCTTTAAAGGGTATACAATGGCATTTACTAATTTGATTACAGGTGACACGTGGACGTTGGCTTGCATTTTGATGAATTTGAGAGCTGATTGTAGTGCTGTCTGAACAGCTACGTCTGTGGCTGGATCCTTTGGATATATTGGGTCGAGCAGAACACTTCCGTACAGCAATGCGTTGATTTTAGCGTTGTCTTTTTGGAGTTGAAAGAGATCCACTTGCTTGAAACTTTGGCGTTTCAGGTGGGTGCCCCCGGGCTGCGATGACAGGTATCGACCTGTGAACCGTGCACCACCGGCAAGCGGCGGCCAAAAGTCCCATCGCGGCAGACGATCATCTGGAAAGTGAGCTGTGACGAGGTCGTGGAGGCTGGCGATAAGCCCTGCTAGAAGAAGTGCGCAGATGCCTATCATCGGATATTGTAAATATAGCACAAAATTTTACACGATGAAAATTTTTAGACGAATAATTTATTTTACATTTGGAACTTTCAAGAAAAGAATTGGTTAATCAGATTCTTTGTAGTGTACTCGATTGAAGACTGCAATTTTGTCCACATTGTCGCGAAGAGCTAGAAGTATACCTTAGCTCGTTTATAGCTTCCACAAATTCATGTCGTGCTTCTCCTAAATATCCGCTGGGTATTTGAACGACTTGTGTTTTGCAAAAGATGCTAAGTCGATGTAGTTTTCAAAATGAAGCATTCAGCTCGACAATGCTTTACGTTGAACTTGACGAGATCAAAGATCAATAGGAAAAGCTTTAAAAAGTCAATTATATGTCGTAATTTTTGAACCTTAGGTAAAGTATCCGCTTTGGTAGCTCACCCGGGTGCTTTACAAACACGCTCAGCATTCAGCGAACGTGCCCATGATGTGGACTAACTAAAGCCTCGAGCTCCTTCCGCTTTCGTCGCGTTCGCCAAGAGTCAATCCAAATAGCTTGCTCTAGAAGGACATATTATATCCCCTGAACTATGAATACTTTCTCTTTCACCGTTTGCGCTTTTCTAGTTAGGGGCTGCGTAACATAATCTATCGCCATGAACAATTATGTTTACTTAACTATGAACTAATAAGCTGACCCTTTAGCTGAAGTTTAGGGGACAATGACTAGTCAGCGAATGCGAAATTATTGAGTAGGCGATAAGTGGATGTCCCGCGCCATTTTCGTTCCAGCTCGCTACTTAAATTGCCTCTTCAAATTCGCATATTATATAAAACATAATTTTGCATAAATTGTTTTTTATCACAGAATATTCAGTCTCCTTACTTAGATAGTAGCTACGCTAGGAGATGTTTCCGACAGAGGTAAAATGTTAAACACGCGGATGGCCATCAGTGATGATCACGATTCTTCACATCAGCGCTTACTGGTTGCAGGTGCGTTAATCACATTATGCTTTAACCAGACTACTAAACAATGCGTTACGAGACACAAATCTTAAGCTAGTATAAATTACGCATCACCATCTTAAGGGCTTTTTTAAACGTCAGCCTCGTAGTCCGCCTTAACAAACTTTATTATTGTCGTCATCGACTGATGCACTAAACAGCAGCTCTTAACACTGCACGGTTAACCAATATGTTGATCGAGCGCACCGTCATGTTTGTCGCGGTCAGTATGGTGCGGCTGGCAAAGTATTTTCATATTTCAATTTCGAGTCCGTCGACATCCCCGTACATAGATTTGATGTGTGATCTAATCTAGCCGAAGCCACATACGGTATATCGTCATCGCTGTAAACCGCATGATATCTTCAGATAGAGCGATCAGCATGAGGGTACACAAACGTTTTCGCTGTTGAAACGTCAACACGAAGATTCGAACCACAATGCTTATTTAAGAGTCTATTACAAAGTAAGGTATTTGTAAGAGAGCGCTGCTCACAAACAGTTCCTCAAACACAACACACACGCCTGTGCGACGTGGAAGCGATTCTCGGCATGGAGGGAGAAGAACAGTCCTGACTTGAAGGTAAGAAGAACGATTTACTACCTAAAAGGTAAATTTGCAACTGAATTAAATGAGTCATGGTTCCTAGCTACATGCAAAACACCCCAAGGGCTCCGAGAGGTTTTCCTGGCAAAACCTGTGGTGCCTGATTTATAAATCAAGTATGTATTGAGGTTAAACCTCAGATTCAACTAATACAGATCTTGGGTGTACGGAGCTTGATTTTCTAAAGCTTGACTCAACTTTCGTCGAAAGTATACAGTATAAGTGAATGGCTTACGCGAAGGACAGAAACACGTCGACCTCGTCATCAGTACAGATTCCCAAGTAGGAATCAGCATTCAGTATCACACAGAATATATAAGAAATCACCATGCATTTGGGTACACCATACTGTAATCTTAAGGTATTTGAGTCACTAAATCATTTGTTTAACATGCAGTAAGGCCTGCAGAGTCATGTTCTGCGTTATTCAACGTGATATGATGCGTTAGACAGATACTCTTCAGCTTCGCGATCTGCCCGCGCGTGTTGTACGAAAAACGTATTCCACAACGCAATTAGCATGTTTCATTTTTCTCTCTGCTTGCGAGTCAGTGATTGACGTATCCGGCTTTGTACCGAGCATGTTGAATTATGTTTGTCAAACCTTTGTCGTAATGTGCGAGTCTGTCTCTATCCGATATAATGGTTACCGGTAAGCTATGTTAGCAAATCTTTTTGTAGAGGGACAGCTTGGCTGTTGCCTTCCTTCACCGCTAATTCACATTGCCGGTATCACCGTATGCGTCTGTTGAAGACCGAAAAAATAGCTAAAGCGAATAGCACTCTACTGAAACCACTAGACTGACCAAATGTGCTGCAGCATTCGATGAGTGTTTAGCCTGTTGAAGCGTTTTACACGTGCGTGCTTTGCGCTTACCCATTTATACACAAATAAATAGCAGTTTTGGTAAACTTTGTCTTTTTTTTCGAAGTAGCCACCTAGAAGGGTAATACATGCTTCTTACATTATTCAGATTTGAGAATCACATCCTGAGGCATCAGTACACACTGTATTCAAATGGGTTAGTGTTGTAACCGTCACCTTGGGGTAAGACGAAGCGGTGCAGCCGTGCGATCTTGCGCTTCAATAAAGCGACATTTAAGATCTCAAACTTTTTGCCTCCCAGAGTTTTCAGCAGGCATACATTTTGTGATTGACCTGTACGCTGTATGTATCTTCTTTGCGATTGACGGAAGAAAGCGCATCCGTTGCCACTTACGGCCGACCCGTATTTATATTTCTTTGAAAGTATACTCGGCATAAAAGGACTACCATCCTGCAATTCTCGGTGGGGGATATAGTGAAGATATCGCTGTGGGAACTAACGCGTGCTCTTTTTGTAATACAAATAGCTTAGCCCAACCAGGTGCATCTTGAAGTTAACTAGAGCATATTCGGTTTTAAGATGCTTCTCGTCAAAAAGAAGGAAGTTCTATTCGGCAGAATTCAGTTGGCGAGACTGAAAAGGCATGGCACCATCATTTCTATTGGCATCTGATTGGTGCAAAGTGTAGCCTTTTCCAAAGGCTGAAGCATAACAGACGACGTGGAATGGCCGATCTGGATTCTGAAAGGCCAGAATGGGGAACAGCACGCACGAGGCTATCGTTCACGGCCTTATTCTGTATCATAGAAATGTTTGACATTCTGAATGAGGAGAGGGTGAGATGAAGTGCCATGTCGCCATTGATGTTCCTTTTTTGCGCGAATAGTGGGTCAAGCCTAGTGAGCGTCCCGTATTTAAACAGACGCATTCAGCAGTCTACGCTGACCTTTACCTCGCTGTACCTTTCCGCAGGTTCTGCTCTCCAATTGAAGAACCCAGAAAGGAAATTTTGCCGGTGGCAAAGACACAACTTTTGATGTTGGCTAGATGATCAAACACTCGAGCACCGCTCGCAATTGTAAATTGTGGCTCTTCATACTAATTTGTCGTGCTCTGCACAAACCTAATAAACATATTGTCGAAATATGCTTGGTCTTAGACACGATTTGGCCTGAACAACTGGGCTATCAGATGATCAATCGTTTTCTGGTCTTTTTTGTTCCGGTGTCTAATCCTACAGCTTCTCGCGTGGAGATAATAAAAAATTTCAGTTTCTGAGCAGCAAGTAACTTTAGCCGTCAACCAAGTCAAAGCAATAAACAAAAGGCTGTCGTTCCTGCTAATCCGTAGCCATTTACTTTAGGATCGGCATTTGCGCCGGAATCGTGGCTGAATCTAGCTTTTTATCGGCATGCACAATTTGCCGCTTGTCAATAGCTTTCTGATACAGGTGTCTGGGCTTAAAATGATGATTGTCTTGCTCTATTTATGCTTCACACGCGAGAAAATGTCAATGGTATCAAATAGTTCCCCCGGATGGCGTAATATTTTAATTATAGCTCACTGCAAAACGCACTTCCTATCCGGGGATAACACACGTGCTAGATGTCTCGTCACCACATCATGATATTCCTTCAATAAAAGTATAAAAGGATTTGTAAGATTTTTGAAGGAGGCCATCTCATTGCATGTAATCAGTGCTCTGTGATAGTCCTCAATGAAGTATTTATCCATGATGAATGACAAGTTCTTTCTCGCTCTCGGTGTCCGCCTAACAACTTCGATGATATCTTCGTCTTATCATCCTGTGCACACATCATCGCGGGATAACTTATCAGGTTCTATCCAAGTATATGCAAGGGTAGTGAAGGAGGACTTGTAACCGTATGACTACCCCAGTTATTCCATTCAAAAGTGAATAAGATTTCGCGCTACCTACCCGTGGATCTATACTGCTCCGCATGGTGCGCCTATCCCATACATTGCTAGCTTGCCAATATCGTCATATTATGACAAGAATGAATAATCGGTCATATCTATAGAGCCGGTCACTCCTTCTCGCGACTTACAATCGTCCATCGACTCTACCAGCTCTATCAAGGGAGATTCCAGCTTTCAGCTGGTTTCACCCACCATCGACCTTGGCGCAGAAGTCATATCTCAAAGCCGTTTGATACTGCTCCACCATAGACACGTTTTTGGTACTACGACATATAGTCGTCCTTTCCAATTCAGCAAAGTATAATCTCGAGATTGCGATATACGATTGATCGTCTCCGTCCAAATTTAATACCAGGCTGACTGCCGCTATCGTCTCGAGCTTGTCACAGTCAACGCGACAATGACGCTTCCACTGGCATTCAGGGCTGATCTCATTGCTGTCAGCAAACCTTTGCCGGTGAGAATGCATTGAAGAAACCCTTCAACAAAGCTACTTACCAACATGCTCTGCCAGTGGCCTTTGTTTAATTTGAATAAAATTCACGCCTCACAGTAAAGATAAGATTACTTTGATTAAAGAGCTTGATGCCAGATCAGACATATTCCCCATACTCCGTTCCCATTCAAACGGTCAGACAAAAGTGCTAGCAGGTGACAAATACATTTTTATCCAGAACACTTGTACAGAACGACTATAGCACTGAGGCAAAATGTTTTAGCTCATTGCCTTTTTGTTGATTCATGCGTGACATGCCTCGACAGCCAAAACGCCACCCTTATGAATGCTTTAGTTGGCCCCCAAGTTCCTTGTCAACCTCATAAAGCGGTACCGATCTTGGTGGTGGAGGCGTTGTCAATACCAATTGACTTTCTGATATCAGCTCGACTACAGCTTTAAAAAAAAACTAAGAATGTCATCAAAACAATTTTCAGAATCATGCCTGCGCGGGTGACGACATGGCTGAAATCCAGGATGGGCGGCATCAAGATGCAGATATTGAGCCGGTTGGAGCGCACATTGATTTATAGCAGGTAAAAGTTTTTATCGCCGCTGACCTACGTACGCTTGTATTGTCGGTGGCTTGTGAGACTAGTTTGCACTGCACTTATTTCGTCATATTCGTGGCCATAACGAGATTAAGTAAGATTGACAGCAACTCAAAGAATATGCAAACCCATGCTTTGTTTCACAGGAACCACTTAAGCCGTGTCAAATCCCGCTGTCACGAACCATTCGGATGCCGAGTTTTCTGTAGTGAACAGAATGATGACTCAGCTACATCTTGGTGCTGATCTACTTTTGCTTTATTGTAGTGATTCTGTTTTAAACCACCCGTGTAACCTCTAATCAATCTGTCTAGATACGCAACTCAGAATAATGCGTCTTGTCAGCATCGGCCATACGCTGGGACTCTCAAAAAGAGTCGACGTTTTGCCACTATGTGGAAACATTACGAATGCTAGCCATGAAAAAGTGTCGTCCTTTACGGCATTTCTCGATGAACAATGGGTGGTCCCTATTCTATAAATAAAAATAGATAGTAAGCCCGTTAACCGATGGCCTCACCACAGTATTCATCAAGTGTGAGGGCACACTCACTCCATACTCAAAAGAATAAGAGTCTCACGTTGGCAAAACTTTCCTGTAGTCGTGGATGCATAGCCAAAGATTGAGTTTTTATTTGATTGCCCAGGTAAGAGTCGGATCTGTGGTACGCAACGTGTTTTTCAGCGACGATTAAGGCTTGATCTTGTTCCGAATTTGAGACTTGGCCGATGGCTATACCAGCAAACTTCTAATTATGAGCAAGACTATTCACAAGACGATCAAAAAGCGAGGTCGAGTTCTCGTCGCATTACATTGCACTTCGAGAAATCTCTCATGAAAAATTCACCAGTCTGACAATTCAATTACTGTATCCAGTTTGTAAGGCCTTAAACTTAACGCGACTTGCCCTGTTCAACCAACGCTCGGATAAACGGTATCCCCTTTTGCACTTACGATAGACGACACTACAAGAATTTTGGTTAAATGTCTAAAGAGGCGCATCAAGACGGCCACATACACGGCACGCACGCTTGCACTTTAAGAAAAGACTTGATATATGTGCGGTAAAACAGTACTGAATTGAAAAGAGATTATAGTTACTTTTTCTACATAAATTACACCACTAGAGCCCCTAGAGATTATATATAAAGCCTCATAAAGAAGAAAACCTACGAGCCTGATATATAAAACCTTGGGTACACTGAGGTTATCGCCAGGGGAACCTTGAATAGTTTGGCTTAAGAACTTTGTTGGAAGTTCTCCGCAAAAGGACTGACTCGCGCCTCTCATAGAGAGCATCGCTCTGTACCAATTAGTACTAGAATATCATCAGTCTACACGTATCAGTTCAGAGGACATGTGTGACATCAGAATGATGTACAAAGGATCTGTCTCGTTGTATCCCTTTGTCATTTGTCACCACAACGCGCGTCGACGGTGATGTGCATCACCGAGATCCCTTTCGTTGAATTGCTTGGTTTGGCCCATCACAAGCTCCAATCATAGGTACGAGTTTACCCAGCTGCTGTAAATTTAGCCGTGAGCGGTATTTTTGAAGAGTGGGGAGTTGCGATGGCACGGAGCGCGTGGTTGATTTCCATTTATGCGGAAGGTCAACATACAAACCTGTCGAAGGGATCTGCAACGTCGAATTCTCAATCATGTAAAATCTTGTTTAGAGCGTCTTTAATGAAAGTTGCTGCGACCTACTCGCTTACTAAGGGGCAAATTTGACTCAATCATTCCGATCTAGCTTCTCGGTAAAGTCTGCGTTCTCGTTGTATGTTTCACGGTGCCTCGTAACTACCTCCTCCATAACGAACGGGCACGAAGGACGCTTGTGTGAAGATCCGAGACGGAGTGCAATGAACGCCAGCCCTCCGGTTGATTTTTATAACCGACTCCTTCCTGTAATTGGTAAGAGCGACGGTGTTGGGTCGGCCCTCAGGGAGTTGCAATGACCATTCTTACAGAATAATTTCTCGCGAGCATCACCGATGAGGTCCTGTAATACGTCGTCGGCAGGGATCGCGACATTCTCGACATGAAGCAATTGAAGACGAATGTATATCCCAAGTACCAATTTGAGCTACACTTAACGCAATATATATGCTAATGGATTACACCAAGTCATTATGTGAAGGTAATTCTATGTGCCTTCTGTATGGAGTCTCCAAGTGCATACATGAGATATAATATAAAGGCACAAATATTCTACATAATATATAGAATGATGGTCTCTACTTCTGGATCTGTACTGGTGACTAGACCGACATATCTCTGTCTTCAAAGTGGGTGGCGTAAGCAAGTCAGTAAGATCTACTGAATACTTTCCTCGAAAGTTCAAATTCAAGTTTTTGAAGTTCAAGCTCCGTACACCCAAGATCTTGTAAAGGTTCAAATTCACCCTTAGTTTTACGAAGAAGGATCATAAGGTTTTATCAGTAAAATCTTTAGAAGCCGTTCGGGTGATTCGCATGCAGCTAGAACCTCTAACGTGTTTTGATTCAGTTGCAAACTTACCTTTACGGTGTTACGTCATTATTTTTCCCTCCAAACCAGGACCGTCCTTCCCCCTCTACGTCGGGTATCGCTTCTTCGTTGCACAACCGCCGTGTGTTGTGCTTGAGGGAGTAGCGCTCTCTTACAAAATGTCACTTTCGAAGGTCTTCCGGTGCATTGATTGGTTCAACTTTATGAAACCTGCCTTAGTGCAAGCCGAATAGAGTGTGACCCTAATGAGGCTTAATATTAGTATGAGGGTGTAATGGGCTACGTACGCTATGTCGGCTCACGTACATATGCCACGTTTTTCTGTCGTAATCGGCGAAGCTAGACGTACCAGGGTCAAGTGGCATGTTGGAGTTGTCCAATTAGTACTTGGTTCGGATGAAACTGATGTCGCCTCGTAAACGAAAGGCTCGCGTATACGTGGGCTGCTATCCTCATCCTTTAGACTATTTACAGGGTTAAATTATTGTAGAAATTCGAACAGACATATAAATTTTTCAATGATATGAGAAGCGCTTGGCTCTACAATTTAGGTGGTACGAATCCACCCATCTGTATGCATTAGCTGACGCGGACTCTAAGAGCTAACGCTTTCTTGGACCATGCACACGGCAGCCATGTTGCAAGAAGAATTGATGAAAGTTGGTGAAAGATGGCTATGTCTTAAACACGACATAAATGTAGAGTCTGCGCGTTTGTATTTCAGTTGACTTTGGCCCACCACACCGTACGCTAGGTTCCGCTCTGCGTTTCTTCTTCGTGACTTGTAGCAGTCACGGTTCATCCCAAGGTGCTCATGAACGGCCTGGGAAGTCTCACGACAAACCTTTACTGGCAGGGCTCATGCAACGGCTTAGCCGGGTCGCCTTGCTCACCTTTCAATCAGTGGTCGAGACAAAAGCGGTACATGCAAAGTTGACGGTGTCATATTTGTTTCTTACTTCGTACAAGAGGACTTAAATCTAGTATTGGAGTGGGAACATATCTGGGCAGAGAAAGAATCTCCCTCTTATAAGAAAAATTAATATGGTCATGAATCTGGCCAGGTTTCAGACAGAGTCAACAGCTCGGAACTTGCGGATTCTGATCACAAACACTTCGTGCAAAGATGGGCTCTATCGTACATCACCTCGGTAAAAGAGGAGTATTTAATGTGGTTTGATTTTAAGTATCATATACCGCGGGTGTCAACACCGCCTTTCCAGGCGTATCGAGTGCGCTTAGGCGATTTTCCAACCCTTAGGAAGCGAAGGTGAGAGACGTTGCTCAGGATATAATTTGTGAAATTACTACAAAGGTGTCAGGACTTTTTTCGAAGGCGGTAACGGCCACCATCTTCATCGCGGGCTCCCGAAAGGGTGCGGCTCAAACCGAGGTCCTGATCACCCACTCTATCTCTTTTGATATAGTGGTCAGTTCGGCATTCATATCAATGTACAACATTTCAAACCGCGAGCACAGGAGGGCAGTGCTGAGTATGATGGCTATAAGAGCGCGTTAAAGGCGATGGAGCTCATGCATTCCACGGAATGCATGAGGCTGAACAGCCTCTCAGTCCGCGCAGATATTTTGTTTTTGTCAAAACAAAGCTTCTTTGACTTGAGTTTGAACTCAGCGAAGAGATACAACGATATGTGCTTCTAAGCATGGCAGACGTCAAATTCATTAAGAGAAACGTAAAGTTTCAGTAAGACAAACTTGGTTCAATTGTACCCTACGGAGATTGTGATCAATGGGACTCAGTCATATAATTTAATTCAGTCTAAGAAATGTGGGAGTCAAAAGCCAGATTTGACGCTTGTTGATAATCAAATAGTGAATCTGAAAAAAATCCAGTCTATTCGGCAGTGTCGTGCGATCACTACGATTCGCGGCTGAAGAAGATAAATAACAGTACGAGGAGCATTGACGATCCCAACAGCGGATACAAAGTCCGTAAATCTTGCGATGGGGCATTGATAAAATTGTCGAAGATTGTATCGAATATCAAAGTAAAGTGTGGGGTCGTTGACATCGTGCAACATCGTCTAGCCCCAAACCTAGGTTCGAAATACGATCATGCTTTGACATAGCGTGACCGATGCGTTGCGATCTGTAGGTCGACGGGAAATCGGAAAATTAAATGCCCATCGTTTTGCTCTTTGTAGAGCATTGGTGGGTCGCGAACCCTCCTATTCCACAAAACAGAAACGCGCTTGGCTCCGATTCAATCTGCAACAGCTTCGCACAGAACACAGAATTGTCTAAAATAGGTAGCAATGGTATTGCTAATTCCTGGAGCAGAGCCGGAAGGCGGGGGTAGCAACAAGCCAATGCTCGGGATAAGACGTATAGAACGATTGCATGTCACGGTCTCTAGAGTATATCTCTGTTGAGTTAGGAAAGGACGAGCATGTGTCGCGCTCCCATAGTGTATTTTTGGCGAGCTGGTAGGGTCCAGCTATAGATCTGCCTATCCTAACTTGGGTCGGTGGATAGTGAAAGCGACCATAACTCACAATCTCTCTTGCCGGAGCCATTGAAGCTAAAATGTGACTATACGTCTCCAAAAGAAGGGCGACCATAAAAATTCGAAGAATGATTCATCTTTGTCACAATCTAACGATACTGCTAAATCCATAAAGCGATCCATCCGGCGGAGCAGTGATAGTCTAAAAATAAGTGCCGTTAAAGATCAACAGAGTAGCCCTCGGGCTGAAAGAATTTTTATACTACCTTCGGCAAAAAAATTCTGGAGCTGTCAAAATGCGCAAGGAGTTACAAGACGGTGAAGTAACCAAAACGGTTCAATTTATATTGGAGGAGGAACTGAGCTCTCCATAAATCATGAATAAATCTGTCGCTGAGGATACTCACTGAAAACTGAGTGGTAGGAGAGGGACAGCTGCCTTCAACAATCCCCAAAGCTATTTCTTCTCTGTTTAAGGTAAATCACGAAGTGGTGACGAGGGATCCACCCCCGGACTGAAACTAGTTGTGTCCATGAAACTAATATTGCGTTACACAGCAATGGCCCTTACACATAAAGCAGTGTCATATCATTGATGCTTTCTTCCGTGCAAAGCACGAAGCATCTTTGATGATAGAAACTATTCTTATCACTCGGCAATTACTTTCTGTGCCAGAAAGGCTACTGGAATGTGGCGAATTGGAGATGCTTCCAATAACCTTAAAGTTTCCACGAATCCGGCCCGAAATCCGATTTTGAAACTGATGTGCTGTACAACCGCATGGTCAGTCACGGTTTGTGCAACGACCTAGAGCTGTTTGATGGGAACTATCAACAGATCAAGAGAGGCAGCGATATTCCTTCAGCTGCAGTGACTAGTCCGAGCAAAATGCTTTGGGATGGTCTGATTATCGTATGCACTAGCGACATTTAGCAGCCTGATGATCCAGCTATCAGGCCACAACGTGGATATGCATAGACCTATATCGGCAATATGTTTGTTCCTAAATATGCAGATCACGAAACGTAGGATGTGGAGACCCGCATTTTACACTTTGAGCGGTGCTTGAGTGCAGACGCTAAAATAAGCTATTTGCCAAAAGAGATAATTGTATGTGTCGTCGACAGAAATCTCACTTGGATCTACATCATAAAGTAAGCGTGCAATCGATTTTTGGGACGATTAAGACCATTGCAAATTCGCTAGTGCGTCTGTTCGAAAAAAAATCGAGAAAATATCTTAGCTCGACCAACTTCTTGCCCAGGGACAGAGCAAACTAGGTCATTTTATCACGACCTTTCGTACTCAAGCTAAATTGACTACGAGTGATGTTATAGAAGAAGCAGGCTAACGTGGATGAAACTGAATCGGGAATCCCATCAACTCTATTGGAAGTCAATGCTGTGGGCACAGAGAGACAAGTTGTTGCAAAAATAGAACAATGGATATACGCGATAGTGATGAGAAGACATTTGGTCAGAAAAGCAATGATTAACCGGACAGCGATGTTGACCTTGAAGAGGTAGAAGACGTGGCTATCAATGTTATCCCCATTTCTTCAACAGAGTGGGAGGAGTTAGCACCAGACGCATTAAATGATGGATTCAAATCTGTTAAAAAGGAGAGTGCGGAAAATGCCCATGCCGAGACGTCGGATAGTAAAGACGGAAAGTTGGGCAGTGTCGAGCTTGATACTCGTCTACCTGAACCTACAGCGTGTGATAGTGAAGAGCTAGAAGAATTGCCTGGAAGTCAAGCTCTTTCGTCTAATTAAGAGCCAATTGATCCCGATATTGAAGACACGCCAGCTTTCACGAAGAAGTGAACGGAGTGCTAGACTTAATGTTTGAGAATGATAATCGCACTGATATTGGGGAGCAAGCGATTGATGCAAAGCTTGAAGCAGAACCGAGTACGGTGGCTGCGTATGGCACAACGGATGAAATTGTGATGTCATTGACTGATGCTGAAAAGTCTGCGAAGGTAACTGATATTTGTGACGTCGTACCTGATGCTTCTAGCGACACGCTGATGAAAAGGGTTCAGCAAGATAAAGTGACTTAAAAAGCGGTACCAACGAGACACGACTCTGCAAGGACGCTAGAGCAACTTGACAAGATCGCAGGCTTTAAAACAGCGGCTGTAGAGCACGTCGGTGCTGACGTGACTGACGACGCATATAAGATGAAGGCTTTAACGGCGGTACTGAACCGAGTATACTTTCTCGAGCTGAATCTCAAGCAGTTGCGCATCAACTGAATATGAGTTCAAAGACGATTCATACAGTGAAGCTGAAACTCCACGTACAGACGTAGTAGCACAAAGCATATTGCCTCCAATCTCTTTTCGTGAATCAATGCATGAGGGTAAGCCGAACCTTTTGGGAGCAGAAGTGTACAAAGATGAACAAGACGAGTACACTGATGATGACCATGATGATCGACTTGTTGAAGATTCGATTAAATTCACACCACGAGCTGATGATTAAAGGTCACATGGTGTTATGAAAGGCGGCCATCAAGGCTGTGAAAGAAAGCCTTATGCGAGCCCTGACTCGGGCTATTTCAAACCCAGATTGTCATTTCACGTACTCTACCTTTACAATAGGCTGCGTAAAGCTGCTAAAAAATCCCAGTGAGCATAAACGCTTGATAGCGTTTGATTCCCGCCAGCTCATAAATACTTTAAAAAATCGACTTTCTTATGACAAGAAGCTACTTGAAATTGAGTATGGTGTCGTCGTGTTTACTGCGCATCTGCTTGGCGTTTGTCCATTTTCGATCTATTCCGGCTTTAAAGATCATGCTCTGTTGTGCACAGCGAGGTCGCCACCAAATCTTACAAATAAAATTGCAATAAAGTTATTCAAGTCTTCTCTGCTCAAATCTTTTCTTGAGGTGAGGGATTTACTCTCAGTGGATAAGTGCGAGGAATGGCAAGATCGTGAAGTCATCAAAATAGTACGGTGGTATTGAAGGAGCAGTTGTACTTATCATTCATCATAGATGAACTTGTTATAAGGACACATGAAGAACACTGAATGCGAGGATTGGGTAGACTATAGTATAGAAGTTTTTGGATTATTTTTATCCTTTGCTTAAGGAATATAAGTACGTGGTGACACGAGACTCACAGTACGTATTACCCCGATTAGGGAGTGCATCATGATATTTTACTTGGCTTCCGAAATTAAATATTGCGCCATAAAGCAATAGACCTTATCAACGCAAACAGTATGATGTCAGTTGAGCGTTTTACCATGTGATACACACTATGGGTTTCAGCACTATAGATCACATACGGCGTAGAGTCAAGCAAGTACGTTCTAAACTCGACCAGGGTATGCTGCACGGTAAGCTGGGGTAAGGCGCAGTGTATTGCAAAGTCTACGAGTCATAGATAATATGGAAAGGCCGACCTTTATTCACTAGATCCAGATTATAGATTTCGGATACGGTGGCGGGACCAGAATAGATATGTTAACGCTGACTATTCGCAAAGATAAGGTTGAAAGAAATGCGAGAATCGCGTCGTGGACTTTATCCTTTGTAGCACTTGCGTGGAGAGACCGCGGTGCTGGGTCAAGCTACTTTCACTCATTGACTTTGCGTTGAACCATTCAGTACATGTCTCTACAAATTTTATCCCTTTTTACATAGACAATTTAGTAACCCTCAGTATTCTTTGATGTCGCCACGGAGTGGCCATATTACAAGCTAGGAAGAGACTGTCGATCAAAATCGACGGGCATATATCAGTTTGGCCGCACATCGTAGCAAATTATTGCTTTTACCCCGATGAAGTTGAGCGTCAAGTGCCAGGTACACGTCGCTATGGCTGTGAGCCAAGAAGAGCAAAACAACACACCGATACCAGAGGCGAGCGAAACTCACGTAAATACCTTGTGGGGTAAGGGGGGTTAGTGCTTGCAATTTACCTACCTACACATGCAATACCTTAAGTAAGTCACGCCCGCATCAAATCTGATCATCACGGTAAAAGCGGAAAGGGGAAACGCTCAATATTCCACAAGAATGCGAGCATATACAGTATTCTGTGTCAATGACATACCGCGATACAGTTTTAGTGAGCCAGTTGGACAGAAGGAGATCTTTTGCAAACGCATCAACGTCTTTGCACACCCTGAAGCTAAGCTGCCTCCTCTTTTATCCGATTCACTAGGCGAGTTAGTGCGATGGCAAAACTCAAAGAGAAAGTTTAAGATCTGGCTCATCTTAATCTTAAACATACCTGTGATTCACGTGGAGATCGACAAGCCGCCACCACAACCGAGAAAATCATGAGAGCTAATGTTCAGTCTCCTCCCATACTGCGCGTCGGGCAAGGGTTTGGGATCCAGATTGAGGAGGAGAGAGCTTTCCAAGCGATTCATTTCCACATTGGGTCGATGTGTAAACCAGGGCTCTTACTGGTACGTGCTGGCACCCTCAGGCTAATAGCTAGCGGGAGTTAAAACACCACTTCGGCGAGATTGCCCTAGTGCTGTGACCGCTTGTGACTATGTACACGCTGACTTTTTTTTCGTTTGGTGAAGAGGCAGGATCGCCCGAGTCAGCGCACCCTTGATTCGCTGGAAGCAACCTACCGTCCCTTGATCGGTAGCTGTTACAACCTTCCTCGCCAAAATTGAGACCTGAAACAGCAGGAACTGCGGTGATGGATTGGTTCTTTGACGTCCGAGGTGTCTTTTGTAATTTGCGAAGTCAAGTATGGAATGACGTTCTAGGCAGATGGTCGCATATCTGCAGCTCGTGTGTAAAGCAATAACACGAAAGAGGCGGCGTGTTTTTTGCACCCAGTGCGGGAAGCCGTCTAAACCGTGCAGCAATTTCGTAACGGGGTTACACGTACCCTGGTACGAAAAAGTGGGGTCACACAAGATGGCGTGACCGAACAAAGGTGTAAGACAGTGTATCACACAATAGTGCGGCTTCGCCGTAACAAAACCCCACAACGTGGTAGGACTGCCAGTGTTATGCATATTAACTAGGCTTTACTATTTAGATAGAAAACCTAGAGTTTCAGATATAGGCTGCTCTGTCTCAAAATAAGAGAAAAAGACATTTTCAATTTTGAGCGAAAGAGTACATTTTACTTGAAATAAGGTTTGGGTACTCTTGGAGGTAGCGGATTGCGATCCGGTACACTCATACTCGTTCTGGTATAGAACGTTAGGGTTGGTTACCTTAGCTAAGCTTCCTCTAAGCAGAGAGCTATGGTAGCCCCGCTGTACTTGGCAGTGGTCAATCTAAGCTACGACTGATTCTCTGTGAGGATGAGGCAATTATTCTTTCTGCCTTAGAGCATGCAGAACGGCTTTAAAAGCTGATGTCCCTGATTGGCCCAAAGATTGTGTAGCCTCTTGCTTCGCAAGGACCAGAAGCGATAAGTGCGAGCCTAGAGGCATTTTCAAAATATAAAAATTGCTCAGACAGAAAAAGATGTCGAGGACGGATCTTCCGACACATGCCGCTCATGGTGAGCGTTAAGATCATCAAGGGTAAGGATGGAGAGAATCTCCTGCTCTAGATGAGAGAGGCCGAGATGGCGATGGCATCTGCCATGCTACAAAATGAGCAACAGTGCGTGGCGCTAGCTATCTCCAAGCTAGGGGCCGAGCGCGAGAATAGGCTTTAACGTGCAGTGCTTCGGATGAACCACCTGGACGGAGCTGAAGCGTCAGCGTTTGCGAGTGTTCTCGCCGCCTAACCAGGTGTATCGCTTGCGATCGCGTTGCCTTGCCGCCCAACAGACAGAGAAGGAGTTGGTGGACTTCGTCCAAAAGTTGCAAACTCTAATTGCCAGCATAGTAGCCGATCCTCTATTCGAGGCTGTCACAGTGATCGTCTTTATGAAGGGCCTCCGCACTGGCTTGGCCAGAATGGAAGTTTTCGGCTTGAAAACGTTTCCTTTTGAAGAAGCGGTGAATGTGGCATTGAATGCCGAACTCAGCTTTAAGTCGGCAGGACCTGATTGGAATGCACACCCTCATAGCTCGTCGAGCAGGCATGAGCAAATAGAACTCAACTATGCTGAGAATGAGGAGGGAGTGCATCGAGCTGCCGGGTAGCGTTTAAAAATCCCACGGTGTTATTTGTGGAGACACCCTTCACCTTTGGAAAGGTTGTCTCCTACGCAAGTCGCGTATTGGTTCATCAAGCCGACGTCCCGCTTCTAACCAGTCTGGTTGTTCACGGATAACGAGAACCACCAGTAAGCGTGAGACGTCCTGCTGAAGTTCTGTTGTGCCTCAAAGTGGTAGAGGGTAGCAAGGCCTAGCCTCGAATAGCTTCGTGCTCTTGAACACGAAACGTGTATGCAAGCCGGGCTTTCTGGTCGTAAAATCGACCGTGAAGGGCTTTGAGAAGCCAGGATAGATCTGGATCGATTCCAGGGTGTCGGGTAATTATGGTTGACGCTCCACGATTGAAGGAAGTCAGCTGTATGCTGGGACGCTGAAAGCGCGGCTGAGTGACATTATCACTGTCCACTTAGCGACGGGGACTTGTGTCAATGTGCCGAGAGTCCCTGTGCACCTATGTGTCAAGTTTCTTGACTTCGATATCGTATAACGCTGCTTAGTCTTAGACTTGTATTCAAGATATGACCTCATCCTTGGTATGGCGTGGTTGGAAAACCATGAGCTGCGGATTGGTTTGAGGTCAAATACCCTGGGCGCTACGCGCACGTCTCCTGATGGAGCTTTGGTGAGTCATGAAACTACCTCTGCTAGGAGGCAAAAGCGCTATTGGCGCGGGCACTGGACCGAGAAGGTCAATGTGCTTGATATCAGAATATCCGAGTTGGCGAACACCGAAGGTGTACCGGATGAGAGTCCCGAGCATGGCTCGCGGGCTGAACGTGGAATGGCACGTAACCCACTGAGCACTGCTCAGGTATCAAAGCAGTTGCTATATGCCAAGAGTGGCATGGTCGGACGAGGTCCGAGGCATCTTGGGCGAGGCCTTGTTGATGCGCGTGGAGTGGCATGTAATCCACTGAGCACTGATCATGTTTCGAAGCAGTTGCTGCATGCCAAGAGCGACATGGTCGGACGAGACCAGAGGCATCCTGGACAAGGCCGTTCTGATGCGCGTGGAGTGGCACGTTATCCACTTTGCGGAAATAGCAGCATTTCGTCGGATGTTGTTAATAACATCAAGGCTCCGATGGATCAGGGAGTGGAAGCACTGGACGACGCTGCGTACGTGTTCCCACTGGTCTCGACGAGACATTAAACCTCTATAGAAATAAGGCGGCGATGCCGTATGATACCTGCAAGATGCAGGGCGTCGACGTGTATTTTCGTAGACGATAGCACAGAGCTATACACCTTTGTCAACGGTATGACGGAAAAGAAGACAGCGACGTTACTCTCGAGGTTATTACCGTGGTGGATGCTCGCCTTGAGCTGGACGAGATGTCCTTCGAAGCAATTGGCGGTGCCCTGAAGGCAGGTGGTTTAGCCGAGGTTGTAATCATACGACCGAACAAAGAGATTAACTCGTCGTCGCTTCTGAATGAAGCTGTCCTGAAGGACATCGAGGAAGTGCTGAACGCATGAAGTGAATTATTGATCCCGATCCTGAAGGATCCCTCAAATCCAAATTTTCCTTTGGTAAAGGAATTTTAAGACGTCGTCTCCAAAGACCCGCCGTCGGTCCTACCTCCAGACCGAAGTGTGCGTCATGACATTGACCTGGTTCCGGGACCCAAATACTGCATAACAGGCCAATGGCCCCAGCCCAAGGAGCAGTGTGACATCATCGACGCCTTTTTCCGTGCGAAGCACGATGAAGGGATGGTGCGTGAGAGCAAGTCTCTCATTCGACACCCATGCTTTGTATGTGGAAACCAAACAGCAAATGGCGTATCGGTCACGCTTATAATAAAGTAAACGATGCCGTCATTCCAGCACAGACGCCGATCTTAATGTTCACCAAAATAATATGGTTTGCTGTATAAAGTATAGTGCTTTTGCCTTGGTCAATGGATATTAGCAATTGCTCGCGAGAGCGAGTGATATTCCACTGACAGCGGTAAATAATCCGAGCGGGATGCTCTGGAAGTGGCTGGTGATGCCCCAAGAACTGTTAAATGCACCGGCAACATCTAATCGTCTTGTGACGCAATTGTTCAGGCCCCACCGGCCGTATGAAAAAACATACTTCGACGACATCTTCGTCTACAGTCGTGCGGGGGCACGGGAGGACGGATGTGGTAAACCACATCGTCCATTGGAGAGCGGTGCTTGAGTGCATGCGCACGAATAAGCTGTATGCTACTGCAGATAAGTGCATCTTCGCGCGGAGAAATTTTTTTTAGGGTGCTTCATTGGGAAGCGTGGCCTTAGAGTGGATTTCGCTAAGGTCAAGGCCATTCTGAACTGGTCGGTTTCAAATATCCGAAAGGACTTGCGCAAGTGGCTTGGTTTCACCAGCTACTTGCACAATCATAGCGCAAATTATGCGGAAATGGCACGACCATAATCGAATCTCCTTGAGAAAGATACAGAATGGTGTTGGGAAACCGAACGTCGTGAGGATTTTGACATGGTCAAAGACAGCTCTTTCACGCACCAATTCTGGCGTTACCAGATCCCGATCGTCCTTCTGATGTTTGCCATCGGCTGTGCATTGCTGCAAGGAGACGCCTAGGGGCGAAATCGGGTGATCGCGCTCGAATTTTGCCAGCTTATGGCTATGGAGAACAACTACCCAGTCCACATAAAGGAATTACTTGCGATGAAGTATGCAGTTGTCAGGTTTAGGTTACACCTGCTTGACTCAAACCCGTTTGTGATCTACACAGATCATGCGTCACTACGCACTAAAATCTGTCGCCTCTTCTCCCGCGACAGATGGCCAGGTGGCTTGCCTTCTTCACAGAATATGACTTCGAGGTGAAGTATAAGACAGGAAAGCTGAATGCTTTGACTGATACGTTGTTACGCAGACCGAATTATGAGCTCGCTCCTGTCACGACGGTGACGTAGTCAGTGACAGATTTGATCCGCGTCCCATACGCGGGTGATGATATGTGTGCGGCGCTGCCAGATGCTCCCTAGAGCAAGGAGTTTAGATACACGGACAACAAATTGTCGGTGCGAACGCGCGCACAGTTACACGATATTCGCTGAATAACGGGCTCTATATTATATTATAGCACCGATTTAACGGATACGCCACGAATCGTGGTTCCACACGATGAAGATTTGAAGTACCATATCCGCTATGAGGCTCACGACACCCCTCTCAGTGGTCATCTCGGTTGTGAGAAGA